TTATCTTCAATAAATCACAAACTTTTGTCGAATGACCGAAATGAAATCTGGTAAAGTTTCAATCTATCAATTGGCTTGTAATTTATAAATCCTTCCTTATTACTGTATTTACGTAAAACTTTTTCTTTTTAATAATCGAAGTTGTGTATGTTTTTTAATCTTATTAATATTATATATGCGAATGTTTGAATCCATGCGTGGATGGATGTTTGTTAGAGTTTGTAGCTTAAACGGCTAAACGGATCTCGATGATATTTGGCATAGATGTAGAGGATAGTCTGTAAGAATATATGGGCCACTTACTTTTTTAATTAGGATAGTCTGTCAAAACATATGGGCCACTAACTTTTTTAATTCCACTCGGTTGAAGTAGCGGGCTAAAGCTAGTTAAAATAATTGTCATGACATGCGAACCCTAATTTTGACTCCACTGTTGGCAACCGATAGCAACGCCTTTCTAAGGCTACACACCATTGTGTTACTTTTAGATCGGAACTAATCAAAAGCAGTCATTTCCAAACAATTACCTATCCATTTATACAGATCTGTGGATTGATGTGAATTGTGTCTTTTAACATTTTTTTAAAAATAATATTTTAACATTCTAAAGTAGTATATCCAATCTCACCAGACTTCCCTTTTCCAGTGAACTTGTATTGAAGAAAATTGTAAAGTTTCAAATTCATCTTGAAACTATAGAAGTTGTTGAAATTTTGCTTTTGTGCTGAATTTCTCTGTGTTTTTGATTTCAAACTTTAAGAATCTCACAGATAAGTTTAAAACAGTTTGAGGAATTCATAAGTTTTTGTTGAAATAACTCTTTTGATTTCTAAAGAATATTTCAAATTTGCTTTTAATCTTTACGTTGCTTTTGTTTTGGATAGATTGAAGTAACATACGAAGTCAATGCAAAAAAATAATAAATCAATTTCATACCCACATAGAAATGGAAGGGTTAAGTCGAACATAGAATCGTTGAGTATACCCAAACAAAGTTATGCTAAGTTACAAACTGGTTCGTTAAAGTTTATAATTCTATTTATTTAAGCAAATTGAAATCCCGGGCGTCTTTAATATTGCTTTTTAAAATGCATGTATGCAGATTGCAAATTTGAAATATTTGTAGCGAAGAAGTTGCTGTAAAATTCTTAAATTAGACATTTTATGTTGTACATTTTAGATTGAATACTTGCACTTCGTTCAATTTTAAACATACTTCATATTCAGATATGACGGCTGATAGAGATGTATAGAAGAGCAGCACATACTGTGCCGACCCTCCGTAAGGGACAAGGGCAAGTTGAAATGTACTTCATACATCAATTACAATCTTACTAATCCTACTCTTACTAATATTATAAATGCGAAAGTTTAGATGGATGGATGGATGGATGGATGGATGGATGGATAGATGGATGGATGTTTGTTAGCGTTTGTAGCCTAAACGGCTGAACGGATCTCTATGAAATTTGACACAGGTTTAAAGCATAGTCTGGAAGAACACAAAGGCTACTTTTTATCCCGGGAATAGTTACGGTTCCCGTGGGATTCATTAATTTAGTTTTTCAATGTTTACTCAATCATTCTGCAACGGTTCAACATATCTTATTGAAATTTGGCACAGATATAAAACAAAGTCTGGAGTACACGTGGGATAAGCTTCATCCCCGAGAAATGTCCCGTTCCCGAGGGATACGTAACTTTTTGTAATTTATATAGTTTGTATGTTTTCTAAAACCACGCGGACGAAGTCGCGGGCAACAGCTCGTGCATAATAAATTCACAATATTCCTAAAGTAATTAAAACCTCAATTTTTTAATGTTACAAACGGTAATTATTGTTTGTTTTGATTCCATTACTCCTTTAGTTAGCAAGTAAAATCAAACAGACGTTACAAATGCAATCAACGCCGCAATGTATAACGCTTATCAGTGCAGAACCAGGCGTGTTTATGTTTGCGTTGTTATAATTATTCCAACTGCTTTAAATTACTTAACAATACTATCTATTGCTTTAGCTCGAATCATTTCCACATTAAAATTTGTTTTAGAGAGAATACGAGACATCTCTGAATGATTTGATATTGCTTCTACGGAGTAGACACTTTCTAAGTGGCGAATTAACGACTGTGAGTGCAGTACTAAGTTCGACAATAAAGACCTTGTATTTAACCCTGATAACATCAAGTTCTCAAAGTTCATACTTGTACGACGTAAGTTGCGCAGCCACGGCACGTGCTGGATTTACAGCTTTTGTTTGTTAACGTTAATTACTACAGGTTATCTGTTTATAGTTTACTAGTAAAACTTGTACATACCGAAAACTAGTTATCTCTCCGACCTCGTGGAATTAAAAAAAAAAAGGAAGTAGCCTGTGTTCTAGACTATTCTCTACATCTATGTAAAATTTCATTGAGATCCGTTGAGATGTTTGGGCTACAAACTCTGAAAAACGTCTATCAATCAATCTAAACTTTTACATATGCAATATTAGTTAGATTGGTAAGATATATTCACAAATACAATGTTCGTAAAACACGGGTTTCTTACCACGATTGGATTTTAGTTCCCGATATTTCGGCATAGTTAAATGCGTCAGTTAGTCAGCACGTGAACATGAACCCCGTATCTAAAACAGTTTCAAGTTATATATGTTCACAAGTATTATGGCAGTGGAAGTTTCCGATAAAACTTATTTTAAAGCTTATTGACTTGCTATTCACCAAACTTTTAGATTTAGTGGTCTTTTAGCAGCTTTTAGGAGGCCCCTAAATTTAGTATTAGAATTGTAATTACTAAACTGCAACGAACACATTAAAGAATAGAGCACAATAGCGGTAATACTAATCCATTGTTTGCGAAACTCATGTTTGAAGTGTACACAGGGTACAGTGAACAGAACATCTGGACTAAACAAACACCGAACAAGGGCTTTGCTGACGGCCGTTAGTGCCGCTTTGCTGAATGTTCAGCTGCTAATTACAAAGGTTTATTGAGTGCTTAATTGGAATTAATATTCTGACCACAACTTGTATAATTTTTTACGTCTTTTATAATAATAACTATTTTCGCCTGCGACTCCGTCCGCGCGGAAATAAAAAAAAAGAAGTACAAGTAGCCTACCTGTTCTTCCAGACTATTCTCTACATCTATGCCAAATTTCATCGAAATCCATTCTGCCGTTAAGGCTACAAACTCTAACAAACATCCATCCTTCCATCTAAACTTTGGCATTTGTAAGAACATATTTATGTAATAGTGTACTGTATGCTGATACGTCCTCTCTCGTCGGTGGCTCAGATCGTACTGCCTAACTGACATGCCGCCATAACAGTAGACAGTGTTGCCATGCACTACAAGTAGAAGGATTTTGGAAGTTTATGCTAAGGCTCTCGATGTAAAGAGTAGTAAAGTTTTCGTTATTACTTTTACGAAAAAAAACTTATCACCCACAAAAATACTATATGGATATAATGTCTTTATGATAAATGCAAAGATGTTCAAATATATAGAGAAGACATGTTAACACTTTACTTGAAACATTTTTTTCACATATTCATGACTAGCGCTATCTATTGATAGATCCTTGCAATCAGAAGTCAATGTAATTAATTATTTTTAAATTAATTATCAATAGATGACTAAATAAAATTTAAATGTAGTATCGGTTAATTTTGTTAATTATGCCGCGTCTATTTATGATTTAAAATTTAAATGGATATAGTACTCTTGGTAAATCGGCAGTTTAAAATATATCCATTGTAAGGTGCACGCTATATCACAGTCACTTTCCTCTAAAGCTTTCGACTCTACTTTCTATCTTTATTTTCCTTTGCCACGACATTTTGATTTATTACAATACCTTTGAATTCAGGTATAATATTTCCCTGTGACTTATTTAAAAAGATTATTGCTTTATTTAAAACGTAACAAATATTTTAATAATGTGTTTGTTGCAACTTTTTGATTATTCCATTTCTAATAGATATTAAGAGAATTATTATTGTGATGATTGAAGAATATGTTTAAAAATATTGCGTATTCTTGTGACCCGCATTATAAAGCTCTTTGAATTTCTCAAGCAAAGTTAAATAATATCTCAAGTGAAATATCGACGAAGCTTTTAACTGTGACTTGCTCGTTTTGACATTTTGATTTATTAAAGCTTTCCTTGCATATCCAAATGACTTCAAACTTCAATTTATCTTTTAGTTTTAAAATCGTATTTTAATAGGAATAAAAAGCTTTATTGCTGAAGAAAATGCATTTATCTAATTATGATAATGTTCTATGTTTTCATTTCAAGACATTTTCATGCAATTATAAAATAAACGGGTTCAAAAGATTTCAAACTACAAAGTGTTTTTCATTTGTTTAGAGGAAATTTCTAAAATTAATATCGTTTAGAATATTCGAGTATAGCAATTTTCCAACCTTTTGCCTTTTAAAAAATTCAAAATATAAAACGAACGCGGTACAAAAGCGCATGTTCTGTAATATTATCTCGAGGGAAGATCAGCAAATACATTTTCGTTGAAATTTGTTTAAGTCCAACAACTGGGAGTCAGTGAAAAGTTTTAGCGAAGATTGCCTGGAGCAGCGAGCGGTGCGAAAACATACGCCAGACTTTTCTGTTTGCTTTTTACATGAAACATTTTATACAAGAAGCAGAACATGAATAAGCATTGAAAACATGTTTATTGTTAAAAAAAACCGTTAAAGTTTGTGTACTTTTAATTAAATCTGAAACTACTGAATAGATTCTGATAGTTTTAAATGTCTAAGTATATTGTTAAGGGTTTCTGGCTCAGATATACAATAGTTTATTTTCTTTAAGTTGGCATTACTATTTATGTTAGGTTATGCCAGTCCAGTATAAATTTGTACACATAATTGTTTCCTGTTTCTACAATCTACACGAAATAAGATGACGGTCGAGCGGTGATTCGCTATAAAAAATCATGTTTCTCCATTTCAATTAATTTCCTAAACGAGCACAGTCTTGGTGGGCCTGGTGTGGACGCGCACGTGCGACACGAGGCAGGCGAGGCGGTACTGCACGCTCAGTTTCTGATCAACGAGGGTGCCCTCGTCACCGCCACCGCGGACGACCAGCTGCACCTCTGGACCTTCAGACAGAAGTCACCCCAGCGCGTGCAATCCCTCAAATTCCAAAGGGAACGGTACGTTGATTTTGTTAAATACTTTATAATTATGGTAAGTTCTCATGAGGAACTTGATGATAAATTATTTTTAAAGACTTGTTTATAATCTAGGATTAATTTCTAGTTTCTCTTAGATGTAACAATTTAAAAGCAACTAGAATATAGTACATATGTGATTTATTTTGATTTTTGTTTAATTCACAATATTCAGTTAGTTATTGTTTATTTATTGACGATGTTTATTACTATAATTCATGTTTTATTGCACTTAAAACTAGGTAAATAGAAGTTATAATAGATTACTTCCCTTTAACAGATAAACCAAAAGCTTAATCAAGTTAAATTGCCTTTAAATAGGGAACAGTTATCCGCAAATGTTCGCTAACTGGCAACCCTACTGCGTATATCACAATTAAATAGTTCTCGCCCGTATTTCATCAGATTTCGCTTTAATTATGCGAATCTAAACGCTATTGTTATACAAGCGTAGAAGTCTCGAAGCGTGGTGTATACAGCAAGTTTTTAATTAAGTATTTTGGCTACATTTGTATCTTAACATGAGATAATTTTTCAAATCCTTAATCCTTGGTCTTGCTTTGAAATAAATGAGTAGTTTCAAGGTTTGTCGTATCAAAAAGTCTATTTGAATTAAGATTTATGAATATTTTACAATTGTGTAAGAGCTATTTGAATACATTTTATTAATTAACAATCTATACCTTTCTCTATTTAATACGTACGGCTAGAAAGAGACAAAAAGTTTAACGATCTTTCCAACTTCTTAAATACCTCAATTTGTATACAAATCACTGATTATACGAATTGCCTGGATCCCAACTAAATAGATAACTAAGTTTCTTGTACATTTATCTTTTGTTTTTAGATTTTCAGAAAAGAATACTTTAAATAGTTTTGTTTTATTTTCTCTTTTTATAACAGACAGGGTGAAAATTAAACCCACTTCCTGTTGATTGATCTTTTTTATGAGTTCCGTTCTATTCATGTCCATGAATGTGTTTTAAAAATTTTAAACAGATATTGAAATTATTGTAAAATAATAGATGAATTCCATAAACCAAGATATTAAACTAAAAAAACATATTGACTTCAAAAGAAATAAAGTTGTAAACGTCAAGACAAACTTTTAGACAATCTCAATGTCGAGTTGAATCTGGTCGCTATCCCAAATTATTTGTGAAGCAAACGTCCGACTTATGGTATAAGTAATCCAATAAATCAGAGGGAAAGAAAGATCCCTTGTTGGCTACGCTTTAACAGGAGTTGAGGGAAATATTGAGATTCAGAGATATATTTACTTCATCTTTGTCATTATTTTGGAAATCAAAGAGTTTTATCATCATCACCAGCTCACTATACGTCCCCACCGAGCGGCTCGGAGCCTACCCTAATAAGGGGTGACTAGGCCATAGTCAACCACGCTGGCCAAGTGCGGGTTGGTTGACTTCACACATATCTTTGAATTTCTTCGCCGATATGTGCAGGTTGCATCACGATGTTTTCCTTCACCGTAAGAACGTCGGGTAAATTATGTACATATGAATATTCGAAAAATCAAAAATCACATTGGTACATGGCGGGATTCGAACCCAAGACCTGTAGATTACAAGTCAAGTGTTCAAACCACTGAGCCACCGACGCTCTTTTTAAAGAGTTTTGTAGTAAAAAGAAATGTTTAACGTTTGGTAATAATTGTGTTTATTTAAATTTGTTGTTTTCCACAATCGAAATACTTGTAGAAAACATAATACTGAAAAACATATTTTAATAGAGTATTTCAACTACAAAAAAGTAAGTATGATTTAAAATAAAATAGTGGTACAAAGAAACGATAAACTTAACATTTTTAATATGAACAAGCTTGTTACACCATACTACTCGAACCTTTATAAAGTCAGAATTAATTAAAGCGGAGAAAGGGCGGCGTTGTCATAGCAACCGCATCTCTGTCCCCGAACCTCGCACCTTGTTAACTAAACAAAGATAAATTTCATGCTCCCCGGCTCTTTCATGTCGCCTGATAATTGCTCTACGAATCCTTCAGGCGCCTTCATTACGGTCTTTTGTAGCGTCGTTGAAGCAAAGATTGGAATCTACGTTATAAAGAACAGCTTCTGCTGAAACAAAAACAAGAGTTTGTTTATTAATTCTTTATATACCGTGATATTTTGTAATAATACTAAAATTAGGGGGGAATATTACAGCTAAATACATAAACAATATACAGGAATACTCTTATCTTGTAGCTGTCATTCTTTACTACTTCATATCATACTTTATACTAATATTATAAATGCGAAAGTTTAGATGGATGTTTGTTAGAGTTTGTAGCCTAAACCGCTGAACGGATCTACATGAAATTCGGCATAGATGTAGAGCATAGTCTGGAAGAACACATAGGATACTTTTTATCCCGGAAATAGTTACGATTTCCGAGGGATGCATTAATTCTTAATGGTCTTCTATTACTATTTTCAAACTTTATTCATTCCTAGATGTGGTCGATCTGGTCAAAGCAGAATTTACTATCATAGATGTAAGCCAAATAAAATTGCCTACAAAAAACTAGAAAGAAAGGTATAGAAGGACATTTTCTAGCGTACAAAAGCGTCTTTAGAGATTACTTGAGCGATGAATTTCACTAATAGAGTTAAATCATTTTCTCCGACAAATTACTTCCTCCTGGGAATTGGCCGGTGAAATATAATCGGTGCTGTCGTTATTTAACTGAGTCTGATGATTTTATTGCTATGAATTTGTTTTGATTCGATGAGAAACTTTGAATAGTAGAAATAATTTAATTGATTCCGATTTGTGTTCTTACTAGCTTTTGCCCGCGACTCCGTCTGCGTGGAATTAAGAACAACAAAAACAAATAACTGATCTGATCTTCCAGAATATGTTTACATTATGTCAAATTTCGTCTAGATCCGTTGAGCCATTTACGCTACAAACTATAACAAATCCATCCATCCATCCAAACTTTTGCATTTCTAATAGTATGATGTGAGTTTTTGCTTTGTGTTTCAATTTCTATTTCAAGAATTAGTTTGTGAAAGATAACTACATTTAATTTATCTGCTAGTAGTTTTTACTCGCGACTTCGGCTGAATTCGACTTCGAGAGTAAATTAATCTAGTAATAATCTGTCTTTTAGCTTAGTTAGTTTTCTTATGGTAAATGGTTTGTTAAAATCAGCTTAATAGTTTTTGAATTTTCTCATTACAAATGCTAAATTTCGTCAAATATTATAATTTATAATAGAAAATAATTTTGTGTTGCTATTTTTAATACAAATGGTTGTTTGAGTTAGTTTTAATTGCGGCGTTTGCTAAAACCGTTTTTAATTACTTTATCTCGTGAGCCTGTTCTCAGGACATTAGGGGTGTCTGGCAGGACGCCAGGGTAGCTTAGCCTAACTTAATAACTTAGATCTAAGCTTTCAGCACTTAATTCAATAAGATGCGATTATTTGTGTTTTGTCTTAAGTTTGTTTGTTTCGTATTATTGTAATTAAATTCAAAATAACAATAACAATTAATTTGTTGTGTTTTCATTATTGTTAATAACTAATAATTGTTGTTATAAAAAAGCCATAAAAAAATTCACAAATATTACATTTAATTTACTGAAATACGAACACTTCAAAATTATAATGTTCGTAAGATACGGGTTTCTTACCACGATTGGGTATTTTTAGCTCCCGATATTTCGGCACAGTTGCATGCGCCATGTTCACGCTGACTGAAGTGATGCTGTAGACTTAAAAATTGACAATATTTACGAGAGAGCATTGCCTGAAAAAAATAAGGGAGAATTTATATATTATATTACAGTTTTTATTTATTTGCATTGGTTTCAATAATTTCGATTTCTAATCTCTTGATTATATTATAATTAATTTACTATACTTGTTAATATATTAAGTAAGCTGTAATTAACATCTAATCCAAGCCGAGTTTGATCGAGCTGTCGGTTGACATAATTGCATCTAATAATTACATCGTGAGATATTTTAATATATTGATTAATGGATTATAATTGCATTGCGGGATATATTACGTTAGACGTTTTGATGGGTTTTGGTATTTAAAGGATGTTTCCAATACATGTCTACTGCTGAATTTTATGGGGAATGTTTTGTTTTTAAATCTTACATCTTACTAATATTATAAATGCGAAAGTTAAGATAGATGGATGGATGTTTGTTAGAGTTTGAGATGAAATTTAGTAGAGATCTAGCGGGTAGTCTGAAAGAACACATAGGCTACTCGCTTTTGCTTTTTTTTATTCCAAGCGGACGGAATCGCGGTGGAAAGCTAGTAGTTTAATAAGTTTTAAAATAAAGGATTATTATAAGTAAATTATATATTGTGGCAACTTATTAGGAATAAAAAACAAATGATTTGAATTGTTAAATTGGTTTCGTGACATGACTACACAATTTGTGAAAAAAATCTTTTAACGTCTAATAAAATGTTTTAATACATTACCGTGTCTTGAATAAACGCACTATAGCCTAGGTTTCCGTTGCACATTGTTACAGATTTGGCATTAAACTAACAAGACAGACAAATGAAATTAAAGGGTAAGTAGGGTCGATGTTAGTTTGATGTTGTCTGAAGTTGCACGGTACATGCATGCTCACAATTGTAAAGCATAGTACACATAACAAAACTAAGGCATAATGTTGTAGAATGTATTTACATTTTTTGTGAATTAAATGTTTTATAGTCGCTTTCGACGTTAGTGTATACCTTTAATAGTTGTGTTATTTGTCAATTGTTTTGCTGTCCTATTTGGAATTATATGCACGTTATTTTTATTGGAAACAAATGACTACTGTTTTTATTTTGTAAGTTTAAATGTAAAAAAGCTAGCGATTTATATTATGTTATGTAATTTGCATAGGGAATGTGATTTTGGAAAATAGAAGAACGAAAAGTATGAAAAAAAAACTAATTATCTTTTTAATATGAGACTAAATATGGGATTTTTATTACATTTAATTATAGCATTTATAGAATTTGAAAAATTATGCTAAAAAAAATTTTATAAATATACCCAAACAATTACTAAAAATCTATTCTAATTAAAGTCAGGATTATAGATTTTTTAATACACTTTGGTACAATAAGGTTTAAAAATTGTTACATTTTTAATTGCAAGGCAACCCTAGCGTTTAACACTATAATTTCGTAGCACCACTGACGCTACAATTCGTAGCACAGCTACGACAATTTGTAGAACTTTCTCGTGTCGCAATTTTCGGTTTACCGAAGTTACATAACTAACTATATAAAATGCAATGTTATTTTGTTAAAGTTTTAAAAACTTCGCTTTTTAATTGGTTTTCAATAAAGTGAAGAAAAATACACAATATATACAAAACAATTTATACAGATTTTTGTACTCATTGCAATTTAAATTGTTTAAACTATCGTGAGACATTACTTCAAGCGAAAAAAAAAAAA